TGGAGATTTCAGTTGAGGCACTAATAGATGGACAGATGTCATGTTCCAGAACGAGGTGCAAGATCTTGAGGCTGGATCTCAGAAAGCAGAAGAGAAAACCAATCTGCATGACTCAACAGCCCTCACCCATCTGATGATCTGAGGAGTTTAGAAGAAGCTGGAGTGGGGGCAAGATTTGTCTAGTGGGAGTTTTGATGTCCCACGAAGAATGAGGGACATTCCCTTGTATTGCAAGTCAAAGAAAAGGTACTTAAGGGAAATCGCTTGGAAGCCTGGGTATCTGTGGCTTGTATTTTCGCCGACACATTACGCTAGCCCCTGGCTCCCTCCTGCAGGACTCTGGGGCGGGAGTGCTACTGTGAAAGCTGAGTGAAGGGGAGGCTGGCCCTCCGGGCAAAGGACGTGTGATTATTCTTCACAAGCCAGGCATGGGCAGTGAGCAAGACGGCAGATGTGGTAGACTCACCACTGTCTTAGACAGCCCGTTCGAGGGGGAAAGAAGACTTGCCCCAAGGGTACCCTGATGCCAGGGTGCTGAGGAAGGAAATAAAGTGGCCATCAGGCATGGCACACCCCTTGTTCAGCTGCTCTCAGCTCCCCACCCACCCCGTGCTACGCTCTGTGATGCCAGGGCTGGGCTGCAAGCACCTTTCTCCTTTGCCAGGCCGGCCTCCTGAGCCATCCTGCACAGCTGTTGGCACGGGGGGACAGCAAGGCTGGAGGAGCGTGGGGCCCCATTCTCTTTCTCTTGCACAACTGTTCATGGCAGTGGCTTACACGGCAGCCTGCTTCTCTCTGCAGTGTCTGGTGGCTTTATTTCCGTTTCTGGTTCTGTCCACATTTCCAGAACGAGCCCCAGCACTCTCTCCCTAAGCAGCACTCCTCCTTCCAAGGTCTGAGTCCCAGCTGCCTGGGGTCCTGCCTTCAGCTTCTGAACCATCAGCACCAGTGGGCAGCACCCTCCTCCCAGGCTGGGATCCAGCTCTGGGAGGGTCCTCCTCCAAGCCTCCACGTTCTCATAACCCTGCCCCTTCCCGGCAGGGACCCCGGGGATGGCAGTGGCGGCCCGTGGCCTGGACCCAGGGCAGATCACCCTCACACCAACGACAGCTCTGGGACTCCAATGCCCTTATTTGTCTTTAAGTTGTCTGATGCTTTTCTAGCCCATTCCCTAGATAAATTCTCTCTGTTAAAATAACCAGTGAGTTTCCGCTTTCCTGTCTGGAGCCTGATTTATAAAAAGGGAGCTACATTTTCCTCGTCCAGAGCACTGCAGGTAAGGAGCTCCAAGACAAGGAGAGATTGCGAAGACCCGAAAAAAGCACCTCCGGGGAGAGAGGGTCAGTTTTACACACCTGCTGTGCCAGAGTGAATTTGAGGAGTAGGAACCTTCATCCACCACCCCCTTCCCAAACTCCCTAACCCTGAAGGGCCAGGTATTAGGGTCTGCAGCATAAGAGCCTGCAAGCTGAGCCCGGATAGAGAAGGGCTAAGGAGCCCACCCCTGGGCCGCAGGTCTAGCTGGGGATGATACCTTAACTTTGCTCACTTTCAGGGCTGGTTACTACATGGGACTGGACCCAGCCGTGATTTAACCCCTATATTTTTTGTGATATCAAGTAAGCTGATTCTTTGGCTTTCACTTAAAAGTGACCCAAAAAAAGTAAAAAAAAAAAAGACTGCCTTAAATTTCATGTAGGAACCAATGAAAGAACCAGCTCAGGAGCAGTTTTGAGGGAACATGGGACACAAACATGGCAGGCTCCATGATTGCAGTGGGAACTGCAGACAGGCGGTAAGCGAACGTGCAACAATAGGGTAAGCTGCCCAGTGCAGGCAAGCCTGTGGTTTGGCAGGAGCCCTTAAGAGCACCCGGCTCAGGACGCCAGCAGGAAGGAAAGCAGATGAATTTCTTTTTCTCCTTTAGCCGAATTACACTGTCTTGCTTGGGCCCAGCGCCTGAGTCACGTGCTCTCAGAGATTAGAGGACCTCTATTGGAGAATTTACACATAACTGCATTTGTCACTCACCTTCCCGTCTACAATTCAGGACTGGAAACTCCCCAGGTCAAAGATGGTGTATGCTCACCGCTTATTCCTAGCAGGTGGCATAAGGGCTGACAAATGCCAGGTCCTTGATGCACAGTTGCTAAGCGATAAGTTTGTGGGACGAAAGACCTTGGAGAAGGACTACCTGATTCTATAGTGGGGGGCCTGGAGGTGGGATTCAGGGGAATTATAAAAGTGACAGGGAAAGATAGTGAGCTTGCTTTGGGGCCCTCCAGGGAGGCAGGGGGACTAGGGGCACAGAAAGTTCCCTCCCGAACCCGGGAGGGCGGTGGGGGCTGGGCCTGGGGCAGGGACCCCGGGGATGGCAGTGGCGGGCCCGTGAGGGCGCGTGTGCAGTGGGGGGGAGGCCGGGGGGCCGTCGGGCGGGGGCTGCGGTGCAAGCGGCGCCCCGGGCTGGGCGTCCGCGTGCACGGTCGCGGCTGCAGCCCCCCGGGGGCGGCCCCTCTCCCTGCCCTCCCTCCGGAACTGTTTTCCTGCCCCGCTCTCTGAAAGCCTTATTGATGGCTCAAAGTGAGCGCCTCAGCCCACGGTTTCCTCAGCCCCCGGAGCAGCCTGCATTTCCTCTGACGTGGCCTCTGTCTTCTGCCCTCCCCAGGAGCCCCGGGGTTTTTACATTTCAAATGCTCGACAGCTGGGTGAACTGCTGCTTCCGCCCGAAGAAGGGCTCTTTGCATTTCACAATGGCCGGCCAGTGGCGCCGGGCTATTTTCTCTCCAGCTGTGAGAGAGGCTTTTTCAAGTGACTCGGAGAAGCTGCTGTCCAGCTGCGGCCTCGCCCTCTCTCAGGCTCTGCATTTTAATCAGCGGCCGCTCACTGCCTCGTTTGTGGGGCTCACGCAGATGCACCCCCGCCCCCAGCCTGCCCAGCATCCCCAGAGCCCTTCCGCTCGCTCAGGCAGGTGAGCCCGGGATTGATGTCACCGCAGGTGGGCCCTCGCCTGTCCCAGGCCGCCCGGGGCCGCGTCGGTGCCCTCTGCTGCCCCAGCCCGCAGCAACTCTGCTCCGGGTGCACCCTAAGCAACAGGGCCTCCGTCAGGCTGCTTACAGCCAGGATTCGGCGCACCCCAGAGAAACACACTGGACTTTTCTGCCCCGGGGGACACATGAGCCCGCACGAAGCCGGCGGGGGGTCCTGATTCCATCCACAGCTGGCCGGCTTTTGGAGGAACCCAGCTTCTACCCTCACCTCTGCTGTGCATTCCCCACTGGGTGCTTTTGTTCTCTCCGGTTCCTGTTTTGGAAAACTTTGTGTGTCATATACCATGACTGTCCCTGCCTGTCCAACCGACCCATCTCCTGGGTCCTGGTTTACACGGCCTTGCCTTCCAAAGGCTTCTCTTTGACTAGCCAAGGTGTCTCTCCATGCCATTCTGCTTCTCTCTAGAAAGAACAGCAAAGATTCACAATCACTGACTTTTCACTTTGTGCCAAAGGCTCGTGCCTTCCACATGTGTTCATCTCATTTAGTCCGTCAACATCGGGATTGGCACCAATAGTCATTTTCCACACAGAACTAAGGCAGAAACTTGCCAGTGTTGGCCGGGCAGGGGCAGGTCCATGACTGGTACCTGGCAGCCATGCCCCCTCCCCACGCTTCGTAGGGCCCTTGTCCTTCATTTGGCTGATCTTCCCCTTCAGGCTAGAACCTCCCTGAGGACTGGACTCTGGTATCCTATATGTTTGTGGGCCCTGCCTGTCCTTGCAGACATGAAGGGCTAAAAGGGACAGAAAGGGAATGGCTGGAAATATACTGAGCACCCCCACCATGTTGTGAACTATCGTCCAAGCTTCTGTGGAGAATATCTGATGTAGCCCACCCAGACATCTAGCAAGGAGAGGTTTAATGTCTCCATTTCATTATGGTAAATAATATTTGGGTCGTGCTGGACGGTAGGAAGGGAAAGTGTATTAAAGCTCCTATTCCTCACTTCTTGCGACTTATATTGATCTATTTCATGGGCTGCTCTCAAAGTTGGTTTCTTCAAGGGATGAGGGACATGAACTACATCATCTCCTCCCCCTTTTCATCTAGAATGATGCACTCCCAGCCTAGAAGCCCTAGTGGACTTTCTCTTATTTCAACATTGCTTTCATGCTTCTGAAACTTATTTACTCACCACAACTCAGTGAGACAATTATTGTTATCCTCAGTTTACAAATAAGGAATCAAGAGAAAAGAATTAAAATGTTTATTAAAACCAAAGAAGGACACAAACTCATTCTAGTACACTGGAGGTCTCAAACTCATAGTCCTAAAGTGGCCTAGTGATATATTATACTCGGACCACATGGTATCTTCTTTCATAAATTTAAATTAATTAAAAGCATGTAAAAATTAGTTTACACTTTAGAAGTCCAGATGCCTGTCTCTCTGACCAAATAACAGGTGATCTAGCAACACTGGGGCTCCATTTGCTCATGGCAACCATCTGTTGATACTGATTAATTCCTGACCACTGTATTTCAGGGTGAGCTCTGCTCTTTATCAAACTCCATCTCCAGCCTGGTTTACTGACTCACAATATCTGTCAGGCTCCTGAAGGTATTGCCTTTGCCTCAAAAAGCTTCAAGAAACACCATCCCTGTCAGTGGAACAGTCTGTGATATGGAAACAGTTGTCTTTAAGGGATGGTAACAAGGCCTCATTCAGTCAGAATCTGTGGCCCATGTCTCTCGAGCTCTGCATTCTGACATAGACTTCAAAGATCCAGCAGGTAATTATGGGGATCTAAGGATGGTTAAACATCAAAAATCAATTAATTATTAGAAAACCACATAATCATTTCCATAGATTCAGAAAAAATAACTCAATAAAATTCAGCTCTCTTTCATGGAAAAAAAAATCCTCAGGAGTTGAACTGACAGTCTTAGCCATTGCAATATGAAAAGAAAAAAAGAAGAGAAAAGAAAGTTATTAGGATTTAAGTAATAGTACTCACTTTGACAGCACATAGACTAAAGTTGGAACAAGACAGAGAAGATGAGTATGGCCCCTGAGCAAGGATGACACGCAAATTCACAAAGTGTTACATATTTTTTTAAAAAGATTTAAGTAAGAGATAAAATTGCTCTCAAATGCAAATATAATATGTTTTTCATAGAAAATCCAATGTAATCTATAAACCATTAGTACTAATGAGCAACCGCATATATTCAATTCATTTATTTGACAAATATATATTCAGCGTGAGCGTGGCTATTCTTGGCATAGCAGATACAGCAGTGAGTAATAGAGAAAGTCCTGCCCTTGAGGAGCTCATCTTTTAATTTAAAAATATTTACAATATGTCTCACCTTCTAGAGAACAATAAAGCACAAGAGATTGATTGATGTATTCTTTTAAAAGCATGTGGTGGTGAAGGAAGTCCTCAGTATTAAGATGACATCTGAGTAGAGCCCTGAAGGAAGTAAGAGATCTAGTGGCTAGCTGGGGGAGATCACTGCAGCCTGGGGGGACAATGAGCACAAATGTTCTAAGTGAGAGCATGCTGGGCATGCTGGTAAGTGCAAGGAAGTCAGTGACGCTGCATGAGCTATTGGGAGTACGAGGCCACGTAAGGCCGGGGAAGTAACATAGGGCCAGATGACAGAAGGCCCGTAGCTCCTGGAAAGATTGGGCTTTTACCCTGGGTGACATGGGGCTCCTGGAGGGTTTGAGGTAGAGTGTTGTCTTACAGGATCACCCTGTCTTCTCTGCTGAAATAGAGGGCAGTGGGTGCAGAAGCAAGGACATCAGTTAGGGGGTGACTTCAATAATTTGGGAGAGAAATGTCTGTGGCTTGGACTAGAAGTAATGCTGGAGGTGTGAGATATGGATAACTCCTGACTATTCTAAAGGAAGAGCTAACTGGCTTTGTAAGAGACTCAGTGTGGTACCTGAGTTTTTAACGTATAACCTGGAAGAATGGAATTTCCATTAACTCAGCTCCTGAAGACTGCAGAAAGGAGTAGGTTTGGAGGAGGTGGGGAATCAGGAACTTGATTTTGCACATATTCATTTTGAGATATTTAAGTGGTCAGTTTGCGCCAGGCGTATGCTGTGGTGACAAACACAAATCTTAATGGTATAAATCACAAGTTTGTTTCTCACTGAGGCTACGTCCATCGTGCATTGGACAATTCTCCAGGACAACTGCTTTTTATGCAATGACTTAGTGACATGGCTCTGCCTCTTCTACTCACAGTCTTCACACTCAATCCTGAAGGGAACGGCGGGATCGGAAAAGTGGGCAGGGTCCTTATACCACCTCAGCTTGTGGATGTGCAGTGGATGCAGGGGTCTGCTGCCCAGAATTCCCTGTGAGGTCTGACGCATTCATTATCTCTGCTGCTGGAGAGTTGGGTACCAATGGATCACCCTACATGTCTCCCCGTGGATTATCTCCTATAAAGAGAGCCATCCAGCCCAGGGAAATGTCCTCTCCCTAAAGTGGCCCACTTCCAGTGACAGCTGACATGGGGAAACACAGGCAGCTCTTGACTCAATTTGGAACAACTCCAATGGTCCGTCCCAGCTCCGGAAGCCCTCATAGGATCACCTAAGGTTCTGTTTTAATTGCATTGCAGTGAACTTTTCTCAATTCTCCTCCCCTCTTTCCCCTTACCGGTGACCTGAAGGTCTGGTCCCAATAACCTCCTGCACCAAATCTCTGTGACGCAGCTTCCCAGGAAAACCTAGTACATGTAACATATTTCTTATTTTCTCAATGAGTAGTCACATTCTCCCACCTCAATGAAAGTGTTACGAGGTAGCTACACTTGTGGTGAGCATAGCATAATGTACAAACCTGTCAAAATACTATAGTGTATACCTGAAACTGATGTAACATTGTGTGTCAACTATACTCAAAGATTCTTTTAAAAAAGTATTATGAGAAATACAGCGTGTATGCCTGGAAGAGAGATATCATTGGTGAACACTCACAATATCCATCATATATTCCTTTATTTTTAAAAGATTTTATTTATTTCATTTGACAGAGAGAGACACAGCGAGAGAGGGAACACAAGCAGGGGGAGTGGGAGAGGGAGAAGCAGGCTTCCCGCCGAGCAGGGAGCCCGATGCGGG